TAGGATTTGGGGTTTAGGGCTTGGGGCTTGCAGGGTTTCGGGATCAGGGTTTACCAGCACCCCCCAAGTACCCTTTACTGGAGCCCTTATGGCCTTAATAGCGGGTGTTTATAGGGTATAATATCACTGCAGACATCCCCGAAACATGGAGCCCCCCTCTGCAACTCATTTCCCAAGCCTCCTGGAATACCTTGCAGGGGCCTATGAGACATGTTCCCCCTATAGCACCCCTAAGCAGACATGTGGCATATAGCTATCATGTTCTGGCAGCTCGCTTATAATCCTCGTCCACTCCTGCTATTTTTTGGCATCCGACAGCGATCGCCCAGCTCTTGTTTTTGTCGACTGCCGTCCCTACAGTGGCCGCGTGCACTGTCAGGAGGCGCCTGCCGGCTTCGAGCGGATGATGACGTCGAAGTAGCCAGGCACCCTCTCCCGGAGTTCGTCCCACACTCGCCTCTTGGGGACGGTGTCGACCACGTAGCCGTAAACTGTGTCAGCGGTTCAGGCGGCGTTCTAGGAGCCGGCGGCATTCCAGGATCTCGCACTTAGGGTCGGACGAAGGTTATACCCCGAAGCAATACATCGGGAGTTGTACGGTTGAGGGGACACCAACGACGCGGCCTCAGCCGCAAAGTCCCAAGTTTGGCGTCTAGGGTTTAGGGGTTCAGGGTTTGGGGTCAAAGCTGCCCCTGATCCCGAAATTCCTGCCCCCATCCCCCCTCATCAAAACAAAACACACTGAAACCCCCCCACACTTCAAACACGCAAGAAAAACGTCTTAACCCCAGATCCCCGTTTTCCCCGACCCACCCTACACCCCAAACCACAAAACCTGAAACCCCAAACCCAAGAAGGCATGGAGACCTCCGCCGCTGCAGGTTTTGCGTCGCCATCCTCCGCCGCAAGCAGATGGGGTTTAAGGTTTAGGGTGTAGGCCCCTGTTTTGTTTTATTACTTAGAGCCCCCAGAACAGGTAAACCATTGGCCGGATACCTATAAATAAAGGCCTAATATTCTACATAGTTTTCGGGGTCCGGGTAAGAACCCTTTGCTGTTTATGTGAGACTTAAGTTTTAGAGAGAAGGGCTCAGTTGATGTTAATTTCAAACTTGAACAGGCGAACATGAAAGTAGTCTGCTTCACCCCCTCCCCCCCTCAACACTACCAGGTTCCCAAGCGTCAGTGGAGATCAAATGTCTGCTAAAATAGACGTCGTAATTTCCCTGGAACCTAACCCTAAAGCCTTACATAGTATGGTTCTTAGGCCCCAAAGCCTTAAAAAGATGAGTCCTTAGAGCCTTAGGGTAAACATGAACCCGAAAGCTCCAATTCCCTAAAAGCCTGGCGAAAGCCCTGGGAGCTACAGAAGTAGCCACCTTGGCGGGCTCTGCGGGCGGCGCTGTTGCAGCCGCATCCTTCTCACTCCGTGAGCTTTTAGGGTTTAGGGTTTAGGGTTAAGGGTTTAGGAGCTGTCTCTACCATGTCCCAGAGCCGGTCTACCGATCTAGCGACTTGCAGCAATAAACACAACAGAAGACAGCATCTGGCTCCCTGTTGAGGCTATAGTAAAATTGAACATTTTTAACTTTTAGTAGGGCTTTATTATAACAAAAATGTAAAATTGTATCCAACAAGGACCCAGGCATATGTAACACAAACACACACACACACAGACGCACGCGAGAGTGAGTAGGTGAGCACCGACTACGGACGCAATTCGCAAGAGACCGCCTTTCCAATAGGGAATAGACGAGGCTCTGATGTGGGACACGTGTGCTGAGGAGATGTCAAACTTTCAGCTTCGGCAGGCGTTGTATCAGAAGGTCCGGGTGCGCCCTTGTCGGGCACTCTTGACACAGTCAGCAGGCCACTGTGCCGGCATTGCTATCTAAATACAGAATATGGACTACATACAAGACCGGATTGAGTGAAGAAATGAACTACAACGGCCGGCGCATGCAACAAACACAAGGGAACAAGCAACGAGTGGCACCTCACGATTCGAGAGCATAGGGTGTCTTTTAGGATCCCTTTTCTTAGGGTGCCGTACTATTTGGGGGGGCCCAAAAAGGCACCCTACTCTAGAGAACTACCCACATGTCTTCCTGATTCGCGGCCTCCTTCTCGGGCTCAGGCGGCGCAGCTGGTGCCACCGGGTCCTTCTGGCATGTGGGCAAGACCATCTAGGCAAGTTGCATCCTTTGGGGTCAGACTTTTGCGTTAGGGGTGCTATAGGGCTCGAAACTTCAGACAGGGTTTATAGGGTTTATAGTTTATAGGGTTCAGGGTTTATCGCCTTTGACGATGTTCTGGCTTGCGGGACAAAAGCCGTGGAAGCGCGTCTCCCCCATGCTTCGGCGAATGAGCCGAACCTGGAAGCCCTCACGCGCACGGCCTAGAGCGCCCACTTCCGTGCCTAATACTAGGGTTTAGGGTTTAGGGTGTGCCTAATATATAGCTTGGCCTTCAACGGCTTCCTTTAAGGGACAAAAATGTACTATGCACTGGTAGTTTACAGGTGCACAGACCCCTGAGGCTGGCTCGACCCACTCCGAAGTATCGCTGAAGGGATTCACTTCTTCCAAGTATCCTGGAACATTGATAGGGGGTAGTTCTCTAAATTTGGGGTACCTTTTGGGGTCTTTTTAAAAAATAGGGTGCCGTACTATATGGGGGGGGGGGGGCAAAAGAGGGACTCTAATTCAGAGAACTACCCATAGACTGATAGACCCCTCGAATCGTACTCACGTACTCGTACACCCGCAAGAAGCACGGAACCAGCCGCAGTAATAAACATGTAGCCATTGCCAAAGGCTCCAATGTACCTATATGGTAGAATGTAGGGTTTCCATATTAGGAATTACTAGTATGATTTCGAGAAGTATCCTCCATAACAGTACATAGGACCCCCTTTAAAAATTGCATCAACACACATGTCGAAACCCAGAAGCCCTGAACTTATGAAAACTCTGACCCTGCAACCCAAGGCTCTAAACATAAACATTCGAACTTACATGACATGTCCCGAAAAACCCCTGAGAACACAAACCCGAAAACGCCGCTATTATAGAACCACTAAAGAACCCTAAACCCTAAACCCTGCACCCTAAACTCCCTAAACCGTTTGAAAAGGAAGCCTGCACCCTCAAGTTCAGAACCCTAGGCCTCTAAACCCTCAGCCCTACATCCCAAGTCCTACCCCTGAAGCCCCAAACCGTAAAACTCTATTTTGGAACCCACAAAGCCCAATCTCGGATATGAAGCGCTGCAAAAAAAAGAGCCGTGACAAACCCCTTATTATTCATACTCTATCGAACACCTAAAGGAACCTTCCACGGAACCCTATAATTCATCTAGAGGAATCTTGCAATTCACCCTTCAAGGAGCCCTGTCGGGATCCTATGCCGGAAACTTTCAACAATGAGCCTGGAGCCACCAAAGCTTCTAACCCTAAACCCTAAACCCAAACCTTAAACCCTAAACCCAAAGCCCTAGAGACCCTAAACCCTAAACCATAGACCCTAAACCCTAAACCCTAGACCCTAAACCCCAACCTTAAACTCTAAACCCCAAGCCCTAGACCCTAAACCCTAAACCATATAGACACTAAAAAACCCTAAACCCTCCCTAAACCCTAAACCCTAGACCCTCAACCCTAAAGCCCTCAAGCCTTCTCCCTGAGCCAAGGGCTCCAGTTACCCATTATATAGGTTACTGGGGTACATAATATAAGGTTACCCTATGCTTCCAAGGACCTTATAGTTAGTGCCCTAGGCCCCTTAAGGACCCGATAATTAGGTCCCTGGAAGCATAGGGTTAGTAACCCACTATTTATGTAACTGGAGCCCTAGGGTGAAAGAGCCAAGTTACCGCTGAGGAAGTCTCACTCTTCTCCGGGGCCGCCATGGCTCGCAGGAAGCGAGAACAAAACCTTCCCCTTACCCTAATAAGGCTTATATGGCCGTATATCCTAAATTTGGGGCTCCAAAAAGCCCAAAGTAGTACTATTTTACAGACTTTAGACCCCAAAGTAGGTACTATTTGTATACTTGGAGCCCGGGGGTTATCGTAAAAAGGCTAAAAAGGCTTACCAAAAGGCTGCTTGTATATGGCTTTGTTGGATCTATATAGGCTCCTTTTTTGAGGGTCACGGGTCTAGGACATTTATGCTAGGACCTCCAGTTTGGCTAACGAAGGGGCGATCTGAGTAGTAAGGCCATATGTAATCATGTGAGCCAAGCATGCTCCTGGTATGAGGTCATAACAATCAAGATTACCAATAGGACTTGAACATGCTGGCACCGGCCGAGGGGGTTCTCGTAGCACAAAAAGCTTTACTATACTCATCAGCCACTTGTCCGAGGTTTGAGCTATTGACGTGTATTGCGCACGTTGTTCGTCGAAATGTCGAAGAAGGGCTTCTTCTTGTTCGGCTGCTGGCCCGGATGTATGCATGATCCCTTGCAGAGCCTGGCGAGTGCGAGTACTCCGAAATGTCGGCGTTCAGGATGCGCCACGGTAAGACAGCAAGCCCGCATGCCCATGCACTTACATCACTGTTTTTTGCTGTTACTTCTGACACCCCTCTGTACTCTGTTCGTGGAGCAAAACAGCAGTAATTGCTGCCTGGTAACGGGCCAGTCGTGGCTGCATACGAGCAATCAGCTGAGACAGCCACTTTTGGCAAAATTGCGGCTTTGCCGCAGATTGGGGTGGGCTCTTCCACAAATACCGCTGCGTGGGGCAGAAACTTCGTTCAAATCGTCTGTAGTGTTATCCGTGAGAGTGAGTGCTCCAACCTATGAGAAAGATGCTGCGCAAGGGAGTGCTTATGAGGGAGCGCCCACCGCACAACGAATCCGCAAGGACAAGTACACTAAGTACGCACCGCGTCCGAAAAATGATGAATCCTAAACGGCACTAAACCTACACCTCATGTGGATGAGACCACACATTGGGCGAACAACGCAGACATAGGTTCAGGGCGGAGTGTACGTTCATCGACCAAATGATGCCGGCAAGGAGGAGTGGTGGGCAATGATCTTCAACTGCCCGGTCTTCTTCATCTTTTCGTAGGCAAAGGTATACTCGACCCCGGTTTCGTTCCCGGTGACTCCGTCCGTAAAGTAGTAGTAGCCCTGGGCTAGTGCGACATCCCCCACACAAATGGTCTGATTGTTCGCAAACTCAACCGCCGACCAAGTCTTACCGGCATTGATAGCAAAGCCTTTGTCTTCAGGGAAGCCTCCTTGCTCCTCCGTGGCGTTGTAGCCGAGGAAGTAAGACGCGGCACCGATGAAATTCTCGCGGAAGGGATCCTCTATCGCGAGGGTAGGCTTAAATAACACCTTGGACTCGCCGTAGTTGTAGAGCTTGCTGATTGCATCCACTGCGAGCTGCTCATAGCTTGAGTTGGTCCCGCCCTGCAGGTACGCGGCAGAGATGTTCAGGATCGCATCCTTCCACTCTTCTTGAGCCGCCGCAACACGATCTTCGCAGCTAGGCGCGTTGTAACTCCTCTTGAAGTTGCCGCGGCCACGCCACCAAAGAGGCTTTACCGGCCAAGGTTTCATCCGCCAAGCACCTGTTTTGCCCGCATCTCCTTTCTTCCCTTCCTGGATCAAGATTGGGGCCGGGGCAGGGGTCGAAATGGGAGTTGGATCTGGCAGTGGAGCCGGCAGTGAAGAGTGGTGGGCGATGATCTTCAACTCACCTTCCCACATCTTCTTGTACGCAAAGGTGTACTCCACGCCTGTCTCCACCCCGGATGTTGCATTCTTGAAATAGTAGTACCCCTGGGCAAGCGCAACATCCCCCACACAGCTGATCTGGTCATTGAAAAACAAAACCTTTGACCAAGTATCACCACCTGCAATGGCAAAGCCTTTATCTTCTGGGATGCCGCCACCGCCGTTGAATGCCTGCATGGCGTCGTTTCCAACGAAGTATGACAACGCACCATCGAAAGTGGGGCGGAAGGGATCCTCCTCGGCAAGGGTCGGCTTGAAGATCACCGGCCCAATGTCATAGCCGTAGAGGTTTGCGATGGCATCAGTCGCCACGGTCACAAAGTCTCCACTGGAAGTATTCTCCCGGTATGCTGCGGAGATGTCGAGAATGGCATCTTTCCAGTCCTGCTGCGCTTCACGGACGTCATCTTCGCAGTCCCACTTGGGGTAGCCATGCTGTTGCCACCTCCACTGGTCAGCTTCCAGTGCAGTGTGGTCTTCCGAAGACTTCATGCGCTGCAACAGCACGGTCTCCTCTTCTGAGCCGCAGTCCAGGCATTCGGCTCCTGCGAGTGTCTTGCCAAGACCAAGGGTTACCAGCCCAGTCAGAACCACCGAGTAGTTGATCATCGCAAGCTTGGGGCGCAGCGGCAGCTGACCTCAATCGAAGGTAGGCACCTCTGGCTTTGGGACTGTCTGAACTTGAGCAGAGTGGCCAAGGATTAGAACAGTCTTGAGCAGGGCAGTTGATGATATCCCGGGGCCTCCTCTAGACTGCATGTCACAGCTGCTACCAGTACCTCGTTGGGAGCATGTGCTGCGCCGGTGATCTTTTTGTGACCAAGCCAGTTCGTGCGACTCGCATCGTCTCAGTCTCACACACAGGCTCTTGGAGAAGGAGCTGCCTGGGTTGGGACTTAGGGTTCAGGGTTTAGGGGTTTAGGGTTTATAACGACTCACGAAAGCACAGAAACTATGATTCTCATTAAGACCAGCTATATAACAGACACTACAATCTTTATCAGTGCACGCAAATGGACAACGAGTAAGTGTCCGATTGACAGGGTGCACTGCTTGCCTTCTTCTGACGTCACAGGTCTGTGCAGCCCACTGTACTTTATGGAACGAGAACGGACAGCTCAGCTTTTTCGTATCTAAAGACGCCTTAGTTCGCCGTTGGCGTTTAGGATTAGTAGTGGATTAGTATAGTGGTGTGAAATATGGCGAACGCGTCGTTTGTGCGGAAACCCAAGGGATCAAACCCTGTAAACCCTGAACGTGTCCGTGAGTTAGGGCTTGTGTATTCAGAGCTCAGGGCCTACCTTTCTAGGTTATATAAGCCCTTAAAAAAGTAGGTTCTTTAGGGTCTAGCTAGAGGGTCCAGGGTTCGGGTCCAGCAATTTGAGCTTAGGGTGAGTTTTTCATGAGCACATGTGGGATAATAAGGGTCAACTGTTGAGGTAGCTGTAGATACATTCCTTATACATATATATATATATATGTATGTATATGTATATGATATATGTATACATCGTAGCTACTTACTAGAGGGAAGTCTAAAGCACAAAACCTTTGCCGTTAGCTGAGCATAATCAATGCTGCATAAAGGTAAAGCGTGGTCGCCATAGTTCTGGAAGTGGATGACAAGAACGAGAATAGCAATATGCCAGATTCTAAAGTGGCAGCATACTGTTGATGATGTAAATTCTGCAGTACCTACAAGCCCTTAACTATGGGAATTAGGGTATATTCCTTATGATTGGTAATGCAGGATTTTTATTATCAACAGTATCTAGTGCATGTCCGCACAAACCCAACCACAACTAGAAAGTCCTGTAGATTCCACTTACACACCTGACACTTCATCCCTGGTCTCGAATGCAAACCCTCCCGAAGCAGTTGGGTTTAGGGCATCCCCCATGGATCATACTGTTGATGATATAAATCCTGCATTACCTTAAGGACCCTAAACTATGGGAACTATGGTACATTCCTTACTATGGGTAATGCAGGATTTATACAATCAACCGTACCGCGTAGGCAAAGGGTTCCAAGCTTCTGGTTAGCGTAGTATCTTAATCTAGAGAAGTATTTGCAACCGACGGCCTGCGACCCGATCTAAACTATACTGGCGTTTGAATACTTCGACCTTCGTTTCAAAATCCTACAGGCGGAAACTAAAACCTGAACTGTATGGCTCCGGTACATCGCTAAACCCGGCCGAAGAGCCTCACCCCATGAAGCCCTGACCTCTAAAACACCGTCCCCACCCGCCCCCGCCCTCTCCCGGCACCGACAATTTTGGAACCCTGGAAAAAACACTGAAATCGTAAACCACCGAGTACGGAAAGCCAAGGAAAAGCACTGAATTCGTCTCGTACATCGTGAGTTCCAAAATCCAAGGAGCAGCAGCAACAGCAAAGCTCGTCGTTCGGCCTGGATTCCCGACTTCCATTTTGGGCGTTGGGCTAGGGGTAGGCTTCAGGGCTAAAGGCTTAAGGTGTAGATTGGGGTTTAAGGTCAAAAGGGTTGAGGTTAGGGTTTGTAGAATTTAAGTTTAGGGAGAAGGGGATGGGACTTCGGGTTTCGCGCCGCTATACAAGGCAACTCCTCCCTAATTCCTGGAAATTGTACCCTTTTCTGCAGCGTTCGTAGGTCCCGGCTGTTGCGTTCGTCTGGACCCAGCTATTCGCGACAAGGGAGATTCAATAGCTTCGCAAAATCAAACTGTCGCACGGTTGGTGAACATCGCTCTGTCTGGTAATGTGGAGAAGTGCCTTGTGGACGGTTTGACCTGTAAACTTCGCTAGGAAGCTTCTGAGACTACTTTAGGGTTTACGGTTTTACAAGATTCCAGGAGGCGTGCTGTACAGTGCGTATATACCCGAAGCATCATGAATTTTTCAGAAGAAGACAAATCTGTATCAAGAGCATTCGTGAGAGCTCTTTGAGTGCGACACATTTGAACACACATGAACATTTTTGTCCATGCAGGCAGCCGCCAGTTTCAGATTCGCTGTCATCTATAAAGAGCTCGTGTCAACAATGAAAAGACTAAGAGTCAATATGGCCCACAAGAACGCGCCCCATAAAACGCCAATTTCTCTCAAGACCCGGGAAGTAGGTTCTGACTACCTTCGCCGAAGAGTCCGAGTACCCAAATAGTAAGGTTTTAGGTCCCGAAATCCATACTCTGAATGGTTTTGGACCTTGAAACCCTACTATTTGGGTACTTGGACCCTTCTTGTTCCTGCTCTTGCACGAACTTCAAGGCCGGTTGGACTTGTCAACGTTCCCTAGGCACCACTGCTGCATGGCGCTGCCAAAAATCGCAGGATATGTCGAAAGCGTTGAGTAGAGGTTCAAGGCTTACCTAGACCCTAAAGAACCTTCATTTGAAGGACTTGTAGAACCAAATAGTTATAAGGAGCCCTAAAATGTAAGGTTCTTCAGGGTCCGGGTAAGGTGATTACTTAATATAGGATGAATACAGGATGCGAAAGGGTATGTGCTCAAACAAGTATAGCTGCAGTTCAACCCAGGAAAGGCACATGCAGCAATATTATGACCCTACAGCTGCTAATGCCAAGGCGACAATCCAGCAGAGTATCCACGTAGCCCCAAACAGTGCAAAGACGTGCAGGCAGTAGCAGGCAGTAGGCTGTGAAAGCCCCTATAGCCCTAAACCCTGGGCAATTGGAGCCGCAGGTCTGACTTAAGGAACAACGAGAGAAAAAAAAACTAACCTATCCCTAGGCTGCCAGGGACCTTATTATTGGGTCCTTAACGGGTCTAGGGCCCTAACGAAAAGGTCCTTGGAAGCTTAGGGTATGCTAGGTAAGTCAAGGTTTCGCAGCGTTTTCTGGCTCAGGATTCACTACGTCAGCATGTACACCAACAATGCCTCTTCATTTCCACACATACGGCCTATGCCCTAGCACCAAAGCAGCGAAGCGTCCCAGACCTGTGGGACTGCCCCCAATGTGGGACTTTCCGAAAATTGGGGGTACCTTATTTTGGGGTCCTTATAATAAGGATCCTAGTATTTAGGGTACAAAATCAGGGTCCCCGATTGTCGGAAACACCCATGTCAAAAGGACCCCGAGCTCCAGGAATGTCGGGCCCCAAAACCCCGGACAGGGGCTCTGGGCTCAGGGTCCCTAGACCCAACACCTCGTTGGACGCCTCTTTGGACCCTAAAATGGCGTCTTACTTCTTTTTCAGGGGTCCCAATTATGATTTCCCAAAACAAATCCTGAAACCTGAAATCAGCAGGTCATTTGGGTCCAGGTCAATCCTAGACAGATGGGTTCCGAGAGTCTGTTTTGAAGTGCTCACATGCCGGCTTCACGTGTTGAGATCTGTCGTGGTCCACGAACACCTTGCAATGGACGACTCTGGGGGGGGGGGTCTCCCTAAACCCTAAACCCCTAAACCCTAATCCTAAACCCTAAACGGGGTGGGGAGGGGGGGCGGGGAAATGAGGCATGGCTTCGGAGGATAGCCTTCTGAAGCTACACAGGTGTAGACCCCAAGGACCAAGCACCACGGTTAGGGCATATAGGGTTTAGGGTTTGGGGTTTGGGGTTTAGGGTTATCATGGTGCGAAACATCGATTCATCTAGACCCCTGGAAGCACAAACTCTCTTTCCGTAAGTGGGGCTTCAGGACGATGACTCGATGATGCTCACGAAACAAAATGGTTTATAAGTTTAGGGCTTTTGAAAGACGTCCATTACATCGTGATAGCCATTTCCTAGCTAACGACTGGTTTATAAAGTTTGCGCACGACCCATGGCATCCACCTGAACCTTAACTCTAAATCTCCCAGAGCTAAATCCTAAAAACATGACCAAGAATTCCTTAAGCACTTCACTCATTCAATCCATACCCAGGGTGAAATCTAAATTCGAAACCCTCGAGTGTCTTTTTTTGAACCCCCACGGCCAAACTCTTCAAGTGCCAGACCCATACTCTGATGCCCTAAACGCACCTCAAAAGCTATTCAACATACCGAATCCTGAATGACCTGCCCCCTAAACCCTGAAATTCTAGAGCTCTGATCCGAGCTGCACACCAAGCTTCCACTCTAAACGAAAAAACAACAGCCCTAAAACCTGAAACCCTAAACCCTAAACCCTAAGCTCTAAACCCTGAACCCTAAACCCTAAACGCTGAACCCCACAGATTCCCGAACTGAAGCGGAAACCCGAGGAGGGTTGAGGAGGCCCTACCTTAAGGACCTCAGGGTGTAGGGTTAAGGTGTCCGGGTTTCGGGTTTATGTTTTAGGGTTTAGGTTTTAGGGTTTAGGATGTAGAGTCTAGGATTGAGGGTTTAGGATTTGATTTAGGGTATAGGGCTTAGGGACCCGAGATCTCGAACACGCCTCCAGCAAACGACCTTCTTCGACAAAGCCGCCTGAGGCGGCTCGATGGCCCAAAGCCTCAGTCTAGCAGAGGCTATAATCCGGGGGAGGGGGCCTTAACAAGAAGAGGAGTAATAGTGATTACGATAAGGATGATGGTGGCGTTCATGACGAAGGTGATGATAATGATAGGACTGGGAATTAGAATACATTCTAAGAAGAATAAAAAATAGAAGCACTAAACCCAACAATAGGAACAACACT